AAATATAAACTGTCATATTTCTTTAAGGCGCAGTGGTCAGTCTTTGACCGTGAACCTCACCCTGGAGCCCACAGCAGCCAGTCTTTCATCCCCTCTGGCGCCTACGTCTGCTCAGGCCCCAGGGCTCCATCCTCCCCCCTGCTGGCGCTGATGATGGATGGCGTGGGCAGATCAGCTTCCTGGCTGCTATGTGACCTGTCTCCATGGGGGCTGGGACATCAGTGCTTCCTTCACACCACACCGAGGGACTCCCGTCAGGCCCCTCTGGCTGGCTGGGGGTAGGGTGGCAGGAGCATGCTGGAGCAGCCTGATCACCAGTATTCCCCACTGCCAGTGTGTGGCTTTGAAGTGGGTCTGGGCGGCTGGCTCTGGAGGGCAGCCCCGCCGGCCTGTCATTAGGCACATCCGATCCTGGCAGCGCCTACTCATTATGGCCAAATGAGCAGGCAGGCTCCCCAGAGCCCCAGACAACTTCCCGAGGCCTCTGGGGCAGGCAGAGCCTCCCTCAGCCTCAGCCTCGCCCCGAAGAGCAGCAAGGCCATGAGCCCTGGGGCTTGGCAGGCTTGGGGCCCTGCTCCCCTGGGTTTACAGGGTCAGCCACAGCCCGGCGCTGTCCTGGCACACCGTGTCTCCTGGGCCTGTGTGTGTGCTCCCAGGGGGCTGTCTGCCTCAAGGGCCAAGGTCGTTTCTCACATCATTTCACTCAAATTTCATTCTTGGAACCACAGCCCATTTTATACCTATTTTGCATAATGGCTTACACTGTGAAGTTCCAAAGCAGCACAGGGCACCTATTCGGTGAGGTCTCCCTTCCTTGCATTTCCACTCCCGGAGACAAGGGCATGGCTGTGGGGCGTGGCAGTCCCACACAGACAGGTTCACGTGTTATTGTCTTACCTCCTTTATTCAGAGACGGTGGCTCACAATGTGCGCTGCGGCACTTTGCAGTGATGTCTCGGGTCCGAGTTCCTTCTCCACAGCAAAATGGTTCATGACAACCGTGGACATCCAGGTTGTGTCCAGGAGTCTGCCTCGGGTCACTGCGTGTGCGGCCACGAGGAACTTCAGGGTGGAGGGCCCCAGTGCCCTGCGCTTGCCTCCATGTTTGCAGGAGGAAGGGGTGAGGGGCACGTGGGTGTGACCACACGGATGCAGCTCAGGCTCCCCCAGGTCTGGGTGCTCCCTCACTCAGTGGCTTGTGGCTGCACTAAAGGTAGCACGCTCGACGGTCAGGGTCCCATCAGGAAGACCAGCTGGTGCAGATGTTCCCTCAGAGGGACATGAACACCAGGAACTGGCTGTCTAGGTGTCGGAAGAGAGAACGAAGCAACAGGGCTTAGAGGAGGGAGAGGCAGGAGGGGCGCCTCCAGGGGCCAGGGGCTGCTCTCGGCTGCCTGAGCCTGTGTAGATGGCTGTTAGGGCTGAGCTGCCCTTGATTCGGGGTGTGTTGACAAGGGGTGACCTTGAGCAGCACAGGGACAAGAGCCCAGTGGTCCGTGATGCCAACTCAAAGCAGAAAGAGTTGACCCTTCTGCCATATCCTTGCAGGCTCTTTCCCGGGCAGGACCGACTAAGTGGTTGTGGGCACCAGCCCCTGGGCAGAGAGTGTGCAGTCCACTGGCCCCTGAGAAACGTGGCCCAGACAGACGGGGCTGGGGTGGAGAGGAGGGAGGCAGTGGGAGCATGCTGCAGTGGTGGGGGGGGAGCGCACCTGCCTCGTTACACTGTTGACCTGGGTGTGAGAGTGGACGGTCCTGCTGGCTCTGTCAGAGGCTCTGTGGCCGTCGGAGTCTTCGCCAGCCTGGACACCCTGCATCCTCATCTACCCATCTCTGTGCCCACACCCTCCTCACCTCTTACCACCTGTGCTGGGTTGGCCACTCTGCTCTGGGACCCTCATTCAGCTTCCAGTGAACTAGCTCAGCCTGGGCTCTTATCCAAGATTCATTTCTGAGAACGGCAGGACTGTCCAGTGTTGGAGCCGGAGGTGTGCATCAGGCAGCTCTCCCACCGTCCCAGGGATCTCAGACCCCAAGCTCCTTTATCAGGAAGCCTCCCGGAAGAGCCACCTCCCATGACTCTCCCAGGGTGCCATTCTTGGCCCGGGTGACCAGACATCCTGGTTTGCCCGGGACTTTCTTGGTTTCAGCAGTAAAAGTCCTGTGTCCCCTCCATCCCAGACCAACAGGGATGGCTGGTCTACTGTCAACGGCCTGATTCCCCACGAGGAGCCCTGAGCTCCCGAGGCCCGGCGTGTCTCCATGCCAGACTCTGAGCCTGGCTGGAATGAGCATTTGTCCCATAGTCCCAAAGGTCTCGGACAGTCCTGTTTCAATGGGACCCACTGTAGCCTGCCACCTCTGGGGTGGGCATGGATGCTGGGGCGAGTGAGGTCAGAGGGCTTACCACCTGTAATGGTGGTGGCAGGGAGGACCTGCCATGGTTGGCTGTGTCTGGAAAACTGGATATACACGTGTGTGTGACAGGAAGCAGGGAGGGACAGACAGTGGGGGAAAGGGGGGAGGGGAAGAAGGGAAGGAAAGCAAAGCAAGTTTAGGGGTGCAGAGAATCACTGTGGGATTATGTCCTGGGGTGACCCCCACCCCCACCACGTCCAGAGTAGACCTCGATGCGTGGCGTTCAAGGGGTCAGTTAAAATACCAGAGAACTCAAACCTCTCCTGAAACTTCTTCAGGTCTTTAAAATCATTATGTATGGGACGTTGTTTAGAAATTACGACAAAAGACACTTTCGCTAATCATTTCACTCATCGCACACACACAGAGTCATCTATGTGGTCACAACTAAGACACTACACGGCCTTGAAGCTGAATCAAAAAAAGCAAGGATCTAGATGGTCCCCTCACTTGGAGCCCCTTCCGGCAGCTCAGGGCAGGCGGGCAGCCCACCAAATGCAGCCGGAGCAGCTGCCACTGCTTCCTGCCTGACCAAGGGCTCTCCGGAATATTCCACAGGGTAAGGCAGGGTGTGGAGGAGAGAGCCAAGACTCCAGGTCTGCACTGGACTCGCAGTAACCGCGGCGAGTTCCCCCCTGGGCCCAGGCACTCGCCCCATCCTTAGGGACCTGCGCTCTGCTTGCGTGCCCATGGTCCTGAGTGTGTGCGGGGACCACACAGTGTCCAAAGTGACGGCCTGTCAGCTATGCCACGCAGGCCTGGGGACGGCCCTCCCAGCCTCAGTTCCCCCGAGAGGCTCAGGGAGGTTGCTCCCTCAGCCCTCCTGCATTTGCACACCACATCCTTCTTCACGGCCACAGGGTCCCATGGGAGCCCTGACACCAAGCCCCGTAGCCCAGGGTGCCCGGGCAGGCGGCGTGGGAACTTTGGGCTGCTGGGAGCTCCCACAAGCTCCGGGCTCCCGTCAGTGGACACCATGGTGAGGCCTTGCAAACCGACCCTCCTCACCCTGAAGGTGCCCAGCAGCTTTGCCCCTGAAGGCTTTGCCCCTGAAGGCTTTGCCCCTGATTCTTTAGGGGCAAATTAAAAACAACAAACATAAAAACCTCTGCCTTAGAGAAGGGCTGCTTTACTCTAAAAAAAAAAAAAAATTGATCTTCTATTCCTGCCTCTTCCTGCTCTGTTCTTGCCAAAAGATGTTTCAGATCCTTGTCAGATCAGTTGGTGGATCCCAACAGGCTGTGACTGTGAAGTGACTGGGTGTCAAGTAGCCATCGGCAAGGAAAACGCTAAAGGTTAAACCGGTTTCCTGTCCTGGAACGTCTGGGGACTTTTGCTCACGTCAGTCTCCGACAGCCTCCCAGGCCTTTGGAGTATTGCGGCTTCTGGTGCAGCAGCAGGCAGCCGGGGTGGCTGCAGCACCCAGTCGAGGACAGATCAGGCCCATGGGTCACAGCTGCGTCGAGACGAGGGCTGCAGGTATGAATGGCAAGGTGTCTGTCTGCAGGGCCCGACCACAGGCAGGAGATGAGGCCGTCCGAGGGCTGGCATGTGTCCTGGGGTCTGCTGAGCTGCTCTAAGGAGGCGAACACGTGCGGGTCTGGCTTCCCGGCGTAGCCCCCCGAGTGTCCTCCCCTCTCCCGGGTGTGCCGGGTGCGTCTGTGGGGCCACGGGGCATGTCTGTGTTTGCTCCTATTCCTCTGGGTGATCCCATACCAGACCCCTCAGGGTGCTGGTGACACACCCTGAGCTCCAAGGAGCTGCTCTTTTGGCCCCAAGTCCTGGGCATGGCTGGCTCTCCTGTAGGGGGTACTAGTGGGGCTCAAGATACAGAACTCAGGAGTTGGGGGGCTGCCAAAAACAAAATCCCAACAGAGGAGGACTTAAAAAAGGGAGCTTATTGGCAGTACTGGCAGGTAGCCTCGTCACTCTCTGCTCTCGCCACACCATTCTGCTCTGCTCTTTCTCGTCTCCTGCAGACAGGACTCCTTTAGGGGTCTAGCAAAGGGGGTCCTGGCCACAGCACCTCAAAGGCCTGCCTGGTGATTCAGGGGAAGGAGAGCCCTTCTTCCCACATCCCGGGAGCCTGACTCGGCTCCTGGGCCAGTGTCCTTAGCCAGGGGGCAGGTGGTACACAAGTTCCTGGGGCCCTGTGCACTGGGTCCTGAGATTGGCAGCTCCCACAGCCACTCAGAGGGTCCGGCTATGCCTGCGCCCCAAAGGTACAGGCTCTGCTAAGGTCGAGGAGGTGTTCCACAGGGCTGGTGGCGCCCTGGCCCAGCTCCGGCTCCTGCTACCATGTGCCGTGTGCACCTGAGTAAGTCCCTTCCTGCCTCTGGGTCTGTTACCTCTTCCCTAAGTGGGAGCATTAGATGAGATCAGAGTCACCAGCTAGGGCCCAAGTCCTAAATCCAGCTTGTTTGTTTCTGACCAACCAGCTAAGAATGGCTTTAACATTTTTAAATGGCTGGGAGAAGAAGGAGAAGGAAAGGGGGAAAGAGAGGGAGAGGAGGAAGAAGAAGAGGGAGAAGGGGGAGGAGGAGGAGATGTTATGACACGAACTTATACAAAATTCAAATTCCATGGCCCGTAAGTGAAGTTTTATTGACACACGGCCACAATCGTTCACTCACGTCGCCTGTGATGGGTTTTGAGATACAGAAGCAGAGTGAGTGGTTACAACACAGACCATGTGGTCACAGGGCTTAAACTATGGACCCCCTGCCCCCTCCAGAAGTAGTCAGGGGGCCCCGGGTTAGATCAGGCCCACAACTGCCTCGCTCCACAGACCACAGCGAGGTTCTAACTGGGCCCGGGGCTTTCATTCTGCAGGCTGGAGGCTGGCCTCACCACTGAGTCAGCCGTGGCCGTCCTGGATTTGATGCTCCGCATTTTTCCTAAAATGAAAGAAAGTTGATACACGGCTTTCTAAAAAAGCAGCAGCAGCAGGAAGCAATAGCCTCCCTCCCCAGGTTCCCAGGGCAGGACCCAAAGGATCTGGTGACCCTGCTCTCCTTGAGGCCTCTTCTTGCTGAGCCCTGGGCTTCTCTGGTCTCGCTGTCCCCTCCCTGCCTGCAGCCACGGCGGCCACCAGCCTGGGGTCAGGGCAGGGGCTGGTGCCTGAGGACTGGGACAGAATCTGCTGATTCTGTGTGTTTCCTGTCACCATCTTCCCTGAGTCAGCCCCAAACAGCCACTCCACCAAGTCCTCTGAAAGAAAGGAGTCCAAAATTAGTTCAGCTCTCCTGCAGGCTCCAAGGAGAGAACAGCAGGACGCATGTCTCTTCTCCAAGGTTCTGACGGATGGGAGTGTGAGCTGCCTGGTGCCCAAGGGTGGGGACGAAAGGCTGCTTCCCTGACGTGTGTGTCGGGGATGCTGAGGGAAGTCCGTGATGTCTGGGTTCTGAGATCTGTGGTGTGGGGCCAGCTCCGCCTTCCCAGTTGGCTCCTCGAGAGAGGGGCGTGCTTGTGGTCCCAGCTGTAAAACTTGGGCCGGGGGTGGCCCGGGGTCCCTGGTGGCAGAGGGCCCCCAGGGCCGTGCCCTCTGGACCATCCAGGCTCGGACCTGACACTCGTCTGTGGCTGCGCCTGCTCGTCTGTTGAAAGACCCCGGGGAGTTCTGTGGACTCCACTTTCCCCCCAAAACAGAGGTGACGAGGCTGCTGCCACCCCCCGAGGGGTACAGTGACCCAGGAAGGGGACAGCTTTCCAACACCCTGGAAGCGGCTTGGGAGCCCCCGGGCTGTGAGGCGGGGAGCTTCCCATCTCAGGAACAGCCACTTGGTTTCTGTGTTGGCTCAGATCACAGAGTCGGACGTCAGCGCATCAAAGACGAGGCCAAGTGTTACCGTCGTTCCTGGAGCGGGGACCCCACCCACAGCAAGTCCCGAGTGAGAGGCAGATGGTGGCCCACGTGGCCGCCTCCTGAGCTGCCTGCTCAGGGAGTTTGGATCTGTGGACGTCGTGTCCTTCTGCGTGCCTGGGGACAGACAGCCTCCCGAGGGCCCCCGGGCCGGTGGCCGCTCACTCCCTGCCCTCGCAGGCCCCCCTGGAACATTCCCAGGGGTTCCCGCTCTACCGCCTCTCAGCCCCACTCAGTCCAAGGCCGGGGTGGGCGACCGCCCGTTACAGGAGCCTGGGACCATCTTCTCTCACCTCAGTCTCGGGCCGCGACTCCTGCAGTCCCCCTCCCCCAGGGGCCCCAGCTCCCAGGACGTCCAGGCAGTTGGAAGTAGAGGCTGGGGGTTGGTTTTGCTCACCAGAGCCTCCCGGGCAGGCTTCCTCCTTCGCCTGTTTAGAAAGAGCAGCGCTTGCTTTTGAAGGGTACCAGTGTGTACACTCCACTTAAAGGATAACTTCTGATTATTTTCTTAATGGAAGAGCAAATATTTACGTCTTACAAACTAAAGGGCAGGTTGGAACGTGTGGGAATACCGACTTCGGGGCGCAGCCACGGAGGCTTGCCAGGGCGTGGGCTGGAAAACAGAAGCTGCTGGCCGCGTCGGGCCTCTGGCAGCTGGAAGGAACCGAAGGAACACCCCCCTCGGGCTCGGCTCGAGGGTGGGCGGCCCGGTCTCTGTTTGCCTGTAGGGGGCGGGGTGCTGCGATGTTCAAAACGCCTCGTGATTGCTTGTCCCGTCTGGAAAACTAGACTCGGGGTGCTGGGGGAGGGGGTTCCTCCACCTCCGGGACAACTTTGCAGGCTTCCCCCACCCAGCCTCCGTCCCTACGTGCACATGACGGCCACCAGCCCAGCCACATGGGGAGCGTGACTGTTGGCTGACTGCCCACAGGCTGATTCGGCCTGTGCCAATTGTTTAGGTTATTAAAACAAAACAAAACAAAAGCCAACTTCAGCCCAAAGAGCAGAGAAAAGGAAGTGGAAGGGGGTACGGAGGGGTTACTCTCCCTGCAAAGAGCAGCCCCCCAGGGCCCGCTGCCCAGGTGGGCTGCTGGGCGGTGTGGCCCGAGGGCACAGGGCTGCCCAGGAAGCAGGGAGACCTGCTCACCCCAGAGCAGGAGCTCCACTTCTGAAGCCTCAACTTATGCTTGAGAAACACCTGCCAGATGGGGTCTCCTGAGAGATGCCCCCTGAACCCTGACGGTCTGTCCTCCAGTTCTTCCAAGCCCGCACTGCCATCCTGCTGCACCGTTCGGGGCCTTCCCACCAGCATGTCCCGCCAGCTCAGGCCCACACCTCGATGATCCACACGGAAAATGGCCCGGAGCTGCCTGGGTGTCCTTGTCCTCAGTTCCTGTCTTGTCCCGCCCACCAGGGCCCCCCCACCCCAACCCTGAGCAGCTGCCTCACCTTCACCCTCCATTGGCTCTTCTCAGCCCCTGGACCCCTGCTCTTCATCCAAGGAGCCGTGGGCAGGGGGCCGTGGTCTCGACTACACAGTATGTGTGTGGGGAGGGTCAGGAAAAGAGAAGAGGAGGGCCCTCGTGTTGTTCAGGAAGCGGTCAGTCCTGCAAAGCACCCTGTTGATTCCTGGAAATGGAGAGCAGCTGAACCCACCGTGTGCACACGAGTATATGCATGTGTGTGTGTGTACACGAGGGCATTTGTGTGCATGAGCTGCGTGCACACTGCGTATGTGTGCACATGTGTGCTCATGCATGTGTACACGTGTGTTCACACTGTTCCACTCTGGTGTTTGTGCACACAGGCATACACGTATGGGAATGAGCACATGTATGTTTGAGAAAGAACAGAACCTGCTGGCTGGCAGGCAGAGGGAGCCTGTGGGGCTGGGGTGGCCTTTCCCAGGGCACCCAGGTGCCCCTGGTGGCTCTCATGGAGGCACCTGGAAGGACGCGCTCAGTACTCATTCCTCTGAGTAACACTCGATGTCTGTCACATGTGAGATTCATGAAAGATGAGACCCCACCAGCCCTGAGAGGCTGAGGGGAGCCAAGCAGTAGCTGCTCTGGACGGCTGCTGTTGAAGCTCGGGGTGTAAGGAGACCCAGAGGAAACCGGACCCGACTCATCCCGCTGGCCCCACGTGGAGGCTGCCCTGCCCCAGCCCCGTCCTCTCTGGATGGGTCCACCTGGCCTGACTTTCTCCCGTACTTACAGTGCCACTCTGGCAAATAGCCACGACTGGGGCAAAAGACCCCAGACACTGCTGGATGGGGAGAAGGGCAGGCGGTAGCCTGGTAGACGGAACCAAAGGCTCTGTGGGGTGGCTGACTTTGCTGGGAGCTGCGAGAGTGGCTGGCTCTCCGTGCTGCCCCACATGCCACGCTGGCCACCCTTTAAAGAACAGCTGATTATCTTAAATGCCAGGCCCGACGCTGGAGCCCGCCACCCAGGGCCCTCCCCGCCGTGGCTCTCGGGGCTGCCAGCCGAGCGGGTGGCAGCTGCTGGGAGAGCTGGAAGCCTTTGATTTGCGTCAGTGCTGAGCTGGGCAGGAGGGGCTTCTCGCCAGGCGCCCGGCAGCCGCATGGAGCAGCAGTGACATCACGGCTCTGGGGCACAGCACTGGGGGGGCCAGTCCCTGGGGAGAGGTGGCTGCACGTTCACTAAGTGCTGCCTATTGATCCCAGTCTTGTCTTCCTACGAGCTGGACAGCTCAGGCAGTGGGTTTCTGGAAGCAGTTTCCATGATGCAAGCATCCAAGGGCGGGAGGGAGGAGGGGGGGAAGCCAGTTCTCTCCCCCCGGGGGGCTCAGATGCTGCCAGGGCAGTGGCTTGCATCCTGTGGCCACCAGAGGACTCCAGCTAATTCAGGGACTTGGTGGGGCCCTAGCCACTCAGGCAAGCCTGCAATTTCACTGAGATGAAAGGACCCTAGAGGACCCAATGAAAACGGAGGCTGCGGGGAGCACGTGGAAACATGCCGTCTCCGGGGTGTCTTTCCACGGGGCTCCCCGGGCGCCCAGCTGTGGGCAGAGCGTTGTCCTGTGTGGAGGGAGCCAGGCTTGTGGCCGCTTGGGTGACCCCGCCCCCTCTGTACATCCCACTGTGACCCTCCCAGCCCTTCTCTCCTCACTCACCCCTCCCACTCAGGTCTGGGAACAATCGTGAGTCACCTCAGGGACCAGCACTTTGTCCTGCTGAAAAGGCATCCCCCTGACTCCCCTCAACCCACGCTGAGCTGACACGAATCAGGGTGTCCTGTCACTCAGCCCAGCCACACTCCAAGACACGCCCTGACAATAAGATGCCCCCAACCCCTCCCGGCAGAGACCACCCTTGACAGCCTGAGCCCCGTCTTCACCTGTCTGCACCTACAGCTCGCTGCTCTGTGAGAGCCTGCAAGCCAGTGGTGCCTCAGTTTACCCACTCTGAATGCCTCTTGCTCCAAGCAGCAGGCGCACTCGACCCTGTGCCACCACTGCTCTCCAGCACACGGTGCCCTATGCCCTTGGTCCTCGAGGTAGGCGGACATGTCCCAGACTGGATTTGAGTGGGGCTGAGCTCCGCTCCCTCCTTACTGTGCACCATGCAGGCCGGTGTCTGAAGACCTCCTTGCACTAGCCCCTGCCCCAGCTCTGCCACTGGCTGACGGGGCTCTGAGCTGAGTCACCAGTGTGTCCTTGACTCTGAGCATCCTGGGTGTACCCAAGGGGTGGCCATTCTCTCACAGTCCTGCAGGACAGAGGTCCCAGAGGAAGGTGTTTGCTGGGCTGGTGCCTTTTGGGGCTCCAGGGCAGGGCAAGCCCAGGGTGTCTCCTGGACTCCGGTGGAGGCCGGCAGCCCTTGGCGGTCCGTGACTTGTAGGCCAGTTACCCAATGTCTGCTTCAGTCTTCACGTGGCCGCCTCTGGGGTGCCCAAGGCTTCCCACGCCCCATGGATTTGGAACCCACCCTGATCCAGCATGATCTGACCTTCACCACATCGGCAAAGGCTCTTGTTTCACATAAGCTCACATTCACGGGCCTGGGCTGACATCTATGTGGGGGTCCACCATTCAGTCTAGTACATGACTCAGCAGAAAGGACCATCCCCCATCTTAGATACGAGCTCAGCTAACTGGTCCAGCTGGGCACCATGGGGACCAGGTTGGGAAGCAGGCCAGAGGGTGAGGGCCGGCGCAGGCCGAGCCTAGCTCAGGCAGGGTTGTGCCAAGAGCGCAGGCTGCCTCCCTACACAGCCCAGCTGTTCACGAGTGACCTCAGGAGCCTCCCCTGCCCCCAGCTCTGCGGCCCACCATTTGCCCTGTGACCTTGGGCCAGGCCCACCTCAGGAAGGTCTGACTCACTAAGGGCCAGCAGCTGTCCTTGCTCTTCCCAGCCGACAAAGACATGGAACTGGAGCATGACCTCTGAGCCACTTAGGTCAGGGCCACACATCAGGATGACAAAGACTTTTCCCCCAGATGACGCGCCCTCACCATGACCTGCCCCAGGCCAGTGGGGTGGGCTGAGTGAGCTTTCGGGCTGGCCAGCCATGGGAGGGCAGCAGCCTAAACAGCTTGGAGCAGGGGCAGGGCCTGGGGAAGGGCAGGCTCCCTTCTCCTGGGACCCCATCGCAGGCCACCTGCTGGGTCGGTGCCCCACTTCTTGAGGGTACAGCTTCCGAAGTCTGAACAAATGAGGCTGCTTCTGCCTGACCCCAGAGCAGACGTGATGACTCATGGCTGAGGCCTCCTGGAAGGGTGGAGGTGACCTGGCTGCGAGGAGGTGGACAGGGCATCTGGCCAAACGTGTAAGCTTCCCTACAGTACAGTGGGTGGGGAGGGCCTTGGGGTTCGCACCCTGGCGCAGTGGTTGTGGGCAGTAGTGGGGAGCCCATGGTACCTGTGGAAGAGCAGGCAGGGACCCTGGGCACCTGGGACAGACCAGGATGTGACTGTGGGCGTCCCCTCTCTCTCCTAAGGTGGTGTGGGGGGGCCTCCCATAGCCTCCTGGGGGCCATTGGCAGGATAGACAGGGCTGTTCCTGGAGCTTCAGGTAGGGGATGGATGGACATCCTCACCCCAGGACTCTGGGTGCCTAGGGAGTGGGTCTCAGCAAGGAGAGACCCCAATCACCCCTGGGAGAGGCAGAAGGGGGAAGCAGGAGCGGTGACCCGAGCGACAGAAAGGAGGCCACAGGGTCATCCTTAGGGGCAGGAGGGCCTGGGCCCTTTCCTTTCTCCTCTGGGGCCTGGACTTCAGCCTGGGGTGAGGGCAGGATTCCTGAACCGTGGGGAAGGGACGGCAGTCCTTCCCCCAGGGGCCGAAGGCACACCTGCTGTTTCTGATGCTGGTGGGGGGTAGTGACCCGGCCTCCCTGGTCACGGTCTAGGCTCACCAGTTGGCCACTCAGGAAGGTGCGGGCAGCCCTGGGGCACTTGCCTGGTTGTGGATTTCTGTGGACAGAAGCCTCTCACTTCTGCTGTGTGACTGGGACACGTGGGGCCATAATAGCCCTGGGCGGTTCCCATGGTGCGTAATTCCGTGCCTCTGTGCACTGCTGGCTGAGCTCTAAGATAGCTGCTCCCCGAGAGGCCCCGGCTGAGAGCCCGCTGTCGGAGCCCAGTCCTGCCTTCAGATCAGAGCCACAGCTTTCCAGCACCAGCAGCAGGTTCTCGGGTTAAGAGACTGGGCAGCCCACAGTCCTTAATGGTCTGTCCCAGCCATGTGTCTCCCTCCCAACTCCCCCTGACACGTGCTTCCCCAAACTCATCTACACTCTGGCCTCACAGAAAACGCTCATCTTTGCAGGGTGTCCTGGTGACAGAGGCTGCTGGAGTCTGGGGCTCCTTGCTGGGTAGTCTGTCCAGCTTGGGCCCCGTGTGCAGGCCGGGGCCAGACGAGAGCGACATCTCCATTCATCTATTACCCATTTGGGCCGTGAGAGTGAAGCCCTGGTCTGAGACATATGTCCATGACTTTAGTCATCTCAGGAGGGACACGGCTGCCTTCTCCTGTCCCCAGGCCAGCAGTTCCACCTGCCACTGCTCACCCCACAGGCCTCCCCGATACCCCCTTGGCCCCAGTGACAAGCAATAATCCACAGGAGTGGGTGAACCAGTGTCCAGGCACATGCGCCGGAAGGAAGGGCCAGCCCTTACTATGTACAGTCACTATGCTGACAGTCCTGCGTGTGGTGTCTTGCTTCACTGTCCCCTCCCCTCATGGGGGCTGTTGCTATCCTCGAGACTCAGGTGGGGGTCCCAGCCTCAACCCGGTTGTAACCACCTCCTGGTCACACACTGTGAGGGGCAGGACTGAGACTCCCGTGGGTCTCAGGGCTCGGTGCAGGGGTTGCTGGGGCTGCGGTAACAAGCGACCACAAACTCCACGGCTTCTTGCACACAGGTATATTCGGCCATCTCTGGGGTCACAGGTCCTACGCAGTTCTCTCTGGGCTGAAGCCGGGGTGTGGGCAGGCGGCTCCTGAGGGCTCCTGGGGAGCGGCTGTCCTCTGACTCTCTCAGCTTCTAGAGTCACCCACACCCTTTGGCTCATGGCCCCTCCCTTCATTCAAAGTTGCAAAGAGTGGCCAAGTTTTTCTCATGCTGCTTCTGACCTTGAACCACCCTTCCCCAGTGAAGAGGCCCCTGAGGACTTTGGTACGGCCAGGGAAACTAGGATTGCTTCCCATTTTAGGGGCAGGGTCTTGGCAATGAGAATCCCCCTTTTGCGGTTAAGGTTAACATGTTCACAGTTTCTGGATTAGGTTGCGGACGGCTCCGGGGCCACCGCTCTGTCACTCTGCCCGCTTCACCTTGGCCGACCTCTCAGAACCACGCACGTGCGTCTGGCCCTGCCAAGGACACAGGCTCCTCACCGCGCCTTCTCCCCTCCACTCACCTTGTCCGTGGCGCCAGGCCCAGGGCGGCTCTGGGAGGATCGGATGGCCGGGGCACAGGCTGTCCATTGTGAGTCCCTGGGTGGACCCCACGGGGCCCGGCAGGCCCGCAGCCGGAACCCTCCTGCCCTGGTGAACAGGCCTTTGTTTGGGTGGCTGGGCCCTCGCCCTGCCCTGCACCAGCCAAGCCCGCGCTCTGACTCTGGCTCCACCGCCTGTTGGCCGGACAGGAGCACTGTCATTCCATCGCCCTGGCAGTCGGTGCCCCGAGCCATCCATCACCAGCATCTGACAGTGGGGTCCTTGGATTCGAAGGCTCTGGGAGAGGCAAGCAGAGGCAAGGCTAGGGGCCGCGCTTCCTGGGAGCGGCCATTGTGGAGCATCGATTGGTGTGGAGGAGAGTGCAGATGGGAATGATTTTTTTTCCATGAACGCATGGAATTTCAGAGAAATGGCAGCTTAGTGATGGGCACCTAGGGCCTCTCCCTGACCTCTGGGGGCAGAGCTCATGGCTTCTGTGGGGAAGGCTGTGATCAAGGACAGCACGAGCCCCCCACCCCAGTGGGACTTACAGGCATGGGGGTGGGGTGGCCGTGCTGTCACTGTCAGCAATGAAAGAAGAAGAAGGGGAGGAAGGCACGGGTCACACTGAGGCTCGGGTCTGGGAGCAGCAGGGCCTCCAGGCCCGAGAAGAGGCCAGGAGCCTGGAGGAAGTGAGGCAGCGTCTCCAGCCCTGGGCCAGCCCTTGCCCCCGGGGGGTTGCGCCAGAAACTTCCATTTTGTTCTAGCAGCACCTGTCCAGTGGAGCCAGGCTCCAACGTGCCCTGGGAGCGCAGCCTGTCCAAGAGCCAGTGGCCCCAGTTTGATGAGTTCAGTGGCCCCGAGGCTCAGGAACAGGCAGCCAGAGGAGACGGGGCAGAGGGACAGATACCTGTTGTGGCAATGACCCGTCCTGCTCGGAAGAGCCTCCTCTGGGCCCTTGTCCAGAGTCCAGGGATGGGAGAGGCTGAGGACTGAGCTCAGGGGCCCTGCAGAGAGAGCTTGCTGCCTTTGGAAGGTCTGGACCAGCTGACAGCAGGGGCTGGAGCCCTGAGGTCTGAGCAGAGGCTCTCGGACCAGAACCGAGACTAGGAGGCAAGGGGCGGCAGATGATGGAGCTGCTTCATGAACACAAAACTGGGCTGGGCAGGGGGCAGAAGAGGAAGCCAGGGAAGGAAGATGAGAGCGGCCAGCATTAGCCCAGCAGAAAGAGGAGCCGCGAGGGGCAGGCCACTTTCCCAAGCCCAGCCTGGATGCGTCTGCATGGCTCTGCAGGAAGCAGCTGGGGTTGCAGGGAGCCTGCGCAGGTGCCATGGGGACTCCCTGGACGCGTGCACGTGCTTGCCACACCACAGACTGACATCTCCCAGAGTCGGGCAGGAAGCAGGTGGCTCACTGGTGTGGCAGGAGGTGGGGGTGGTAAAGAGATTCATCAATGAAAAGAAGCATTTTCAGGGGTGAGGGAAATGAGCACAGCTGTTGAGGCATCGAGGTACTTGTGAGAACAGGAGTGGTGACCACCTGGCTGAAAAGCCAGGCGAGGGAGGTAGCCAAGCCCAGGGAGGGCCACCTGGCAGGACCTGTGCACCTGGAGGGACAGGCCACTGTGGGAATGAGGTAGAGCAAGGCCAGTGAAGGAGAACGACTCTCCCAGCTGCCTCCCTTCATGCCTGGACCTCTGATTGGCTGAGCCCCCACTGGAGGTGAGGGAGCCAGGTGGGCAAAGTCACCCACCCTGTGGGCAGCGTCCTGGAGCACAATGCAGGCAGGTCAGAGGGCGATGGAGAAAAATGTGTGGGGCAGACCGAAATATCTACTTACTACCCACCCCCCCACCCCCTCCCCACAAATAGTGGTGACTAGATGGTGACAATGATGGTAGAGATACTGGTGGTGCTGGCGTTGATGGTGATAATGGTGTTGATGGAGGTGGTGGTCATGGGGGTGTTGATGGTGGTATAGTGGCGTGATGGTATTCCCTGAGCTGGAGAAGAGATAGCCCTTTTCCAGAACTATCTTGTGGCATTTTGCTGTCTGCTTTAAGGTCAACATTCTCAGCTCCAATTTTCCTTCTGAAACACTGCACAAATCATCCACCAGCTGCCCCACCCCCATCCAGGCTGGCTGCCTGTGGACTGAGAGGGCCACCTGACCACAGGAAATTACTGCTGGCCTAGACAGTCCTGGCAGCCGTGAACTTACCACCTAGCCTCTGTTCCCGCTGACCAGCAATGCATTCTTGTCCCTCCCTGAACCACTAAGCACAGGTCACACTTCCTGTGGTCAGTGCCCATAGCTGACCCCTTCGCATTTGGGTTACTTATTTCCCAAAGCCCCAACAAGCTGCTCACAGGAAGTGGCCTCTGGAGTGGGGGTGTCGCCCTGCCCCAGAGTCCCTCCTGCTCCCCCCTGTCCTGATTCCTGCCCACCCCCCCAGGAGATGTTTACTTTCTCTTCTTGTCCTCCACCCTTCTCCTGCTCAATGAGTACTGTCTCCACCAACTGTGGGGGGCATGGCAATGCAAGTCCCATGGAGAAATGTGCCAGCTCCTGGCTGGGCATCCATGCCCACCCTCTGCTACAGCAGGCACTCGCCTCCTTTGCTTCTGGAGGCCTGGGCATACATTCCAAATCTACATGGCAGAGCCCTTTCTGACCCCAGATTCTTTCTGCATGAGTTTGCTCGGTCACTTTTTAAACCAGACTTACATACCAATATGCTCACATACACTCACAGGTGTACTCACACCCCTGAGGTACTCACAAATACATGCACGTGTATCACACTCATATGAACATACACACAGCACACTCACACACTCATATAACACATTCCCAGGCACGTACACACACACACACACACACACACTCAGTACCTTTTTGTTGCCACCCTGGGTCTAGGTGCAGCCCTCACCGAACCCCACCTGTTGTTTCTTGCCATACTACAGGACGTCAGCCACAGGAGCAGAGTGACTTTCAGCTCCTGTCCCCACGTGGTGCTTGAGACTCTTGGAGGGGCTTGGAGGGCCACAGCCCAGCTTGTAGGAGGCACTGGGTGATACACACTGTCCCCCACTAAGGATTAGTTCACACCTTCAGGAGTGTACTCCAAAGAGCCCCACGTCCTGACCATTTGTATAGAATGGTTCTCTAGGGGCCATAGTAGAGGTGCTGGATAAATGTTTGCTTGACTTTGGCATGAGTCTCCAAATCAAAGATATTTTTCACAAGAGTTAACTGTCTCTCTGACTCCTGGATACTTCCCTCCAAACCAATGTCTTGTCCTGGACTCCAGACTAGTAGACCTGCTTCCTCAACTCGGATATCTGGTAGACCTGCTTCCTCGGCTTGCACATCTGGTAGACCCGATTTCTCAACCTGGATTTCTGGTAGACCTAATTCCTCTCCTTAGACATCTGGTAGACCTACTTCCTTAACTTGGACATCTGGTAGACCCAGTGACAGTCCTCTAGCTCCTGCTGGTAAGGCAGCCTTTGTCCTTCCAGTCGTTCAGACGGACACCCAAGTGTCCTCGTTCTGGGAAACCCCACTGGCTCTCTGCTCACAACACGTCTGGGACACACCCATCTCACCACCTGGCTGGATCATGCAGTAGGCTCCCACTGGTTTCCCTGCCACCATTGCCACCACCTGTCCTCCATGTGGCAGCCAAGGGAGCCTATAAACACACGTGGGAGGTGTTTCCACTCTGTTCACAGCCTGGCGGCCTCCTCCTAAAGAACGGAACTGGAAGTGCAAACACCTGCTCCAGGCAGGCAGTCCCTGCAGCCTGCCCTGCTTCCTTGCAGCACTTAGCCCCTCTTAACCTACTAATTCACTTCTTACTTCTGTCTGCTGCTTTTCTGTCTTCCCACACTAGGGCACAAACTGCGTACAGACAGGGGTCTGTCTGTTTTGCTCACTGACATACGATGAGGAGGAGGCGGCGGATGCAGCGCCAGCCCAAGCCCAGCCCACAGGAGGTGCTTGTAAACAGAGCCGAGTGAATGAATGCTTGGAATGCATCTCCTCCCAGCCCCACTCCGGCCCCTGGACCCACAACCAGCAGGTCTGCAGAGAAGAAAGCCCTGACTTGGAGGGCTTGAGGTTTCCGTTTGAAGTGTGGCTGAAAGCAGGGTTTTTATTCCACCTCCTGCTCGCCAGGTTTAATGAGCAGCTGGTGTGACAAGGCTGAGTCAGAACACAGGGGTTCTGGGGTGGGGGTGGACGGCGGCGGCCCCAGCCTGTCCCTGCAGCTGCTCCATTTCCAAATGCCTGGAATTCTGGCATCATTCCCACCCAGCCGAGCCAGGGCCAGCGGATGGCCGCCCCCCTTCAAGCGGACTGCTGGAGGAGGGGGGCTGCCTGCCGCAGGCTTCGACGGAGAGCTGCAAGTCCTGGTCCTGGAGCCCAAAGGCTGAGCTTGTGGGCATGGTGGCCCCACAGCAAGATTCCTCCCTGTGGAGAGGCAGGTCCGCCTGGCCACCCTCACTGTCACACGCCTGCTCACTCAGGCCACTCCATGAGTCACAAGGCAGATTTTCCATTACCCTCAGACTCATGTGCGTCTTGACCTGACCCAGTGGGAACAGACGGAGAAGGAGCTGGTTATAAATAATGTGCGTACCTGGGCGGGGGGTGGGGGAGGTGTCAACCTACGGTCAGACCCTCCGAAGCACCGCATTTCCTTGGTGGGGGCAGGGGCGGAAATGGCCCTTTGGCAGTAGACCCTGTACTTGTACACACCTCTCTGTCCATCTATCCGTCTCACACACACAGACTGCATTCCCAGCCCCAACCTTGCCATGGAAGGGAGCAATCCAGCCAGGAGGGTGCAAGACAAGAGGAAATACCAATTGTGTGCTGCCACCACCCAGACGTTTACTGAGCACCAACTGTGTTCCTAGCACAGTGCGTGCTGTGGGGCCTCCCGGGCACGAGGAGGCAGGCGGTGTTGCTGGAGTGAGAAGGAGGCGCCGGCGAGCAGCCTCCTTCAGAAATCACTGACGGCAGTCAGCCGCTGGCAGTTCTCGCCTTCCCAGACAAGCTCTGCTGCACCTGTAGCAAACACCCTCTCTGCTTGCTTATAGTCAAAGCCCCTGGCCCACTCTTACCAAGCACAGTGGCTCTTTATTGTTTTTGCAGCCTCACCATCCCCAGGATGATCACAGGAGCTGGCTGAGGTCACATGACCCAAGGCTGGCCAAAGAGAATGCCTTTTCCCAGCCACAGAAATCAGTTTGGGGATAGGCTTGTGACCTCAG